CAAAACGCATTCTAAGCTGATTTTAACACTTTCAGTGCCCTTACAAACATAGATGCTTCTCACCACAGGCTGGCTGGTTGCTCTTCAGCCAGGCTCTCTCCTTTGATCAGCGCTTCAGTCGCTTGGTGTGGTGTCTGTAGATATAGGTGGAAGAGAGAGGAAGAGCATGGCAAACGTCTCTCCCTTTTATCATGTTCTTTCTTCCCTCTTGGCTTTGCCCCCCCACTTCAGAGTCAGGTGAGCATTACCTCGTCACAGTCCCAAACTGACCAAAGGAAGGGGGGTGACTCACTTGAGAGTCCAACAGATCCTTTGTTGTTGCCTAGGCCTGTGTCCTTTGTTCCTGTGAGGCTGGGTTCATCCCATACATGCCCTGATGAGGTGTGAACTGCCCCTCTGCTTTTGGAGAGTTTTTGTCTGGGCTTATTTTAAGCTATGAGGACACGTTTTCAGCCTCATAACTATATACATGAAATTACAACCTATAACATTAACAATAATTACTATAATCACTAACAACAATGTCAGTGCATCATGAGCCTTCCGAAGACACCCGACATGACAAACTTTGCATTAGATGCCACACAGTCATATTATAAGGATGAACATTGGGGTGTAGGGTGTTCCCACGAGGTACAGAATGTCACACACTCCTTATGTGGTCCTTAAATTAAAACACTTTGGAAGAAAAATTGGCTACTGAATGAAGCTTCACCATCATGGCTGCCACTCCGATGCTCTACAGGGATCCCGGGCTTTCATCGTCCATATCCTAAAAAATGTCCTGACCAAACCAGGCCAAAAAAGAGCCCCAAATGACATTGCCACCTCTACTGGTTCCAACTAGATCCCAAACACCACCTAAAATAAAACAAAATCAAATGTTAACAACAACAGCAACACCAACAGCTTACGCCTCTCTCACCCAATTTCTTCTCTTGTCCCTAAAAGGACAGTTATTACCATTTAAAAAACTGCCAAACAAAGGGGTTTTTTTTCCTTCTAAAAACTCTCTCCAGCTAATTCCCCAAACAACAACAAAAGTTGTTTAAAATAAACAAGGTCCCCAGATTCCTTTCCTTGTTTAATACTTTACCTTTCAAATCCTTTAACTGTTTTCTTTTCTTTGCTTTATCTTTAATTTAAAAGTTTTTTAAAAATGTAATGGTATGTTTGCCATGGTACTAAGCAGGCTGATGTCTCTGTATACCAAACCCCACACCTGGTTTAATACTGTTTAATGTTGGACAGTGACTGGGTTATGTTAACACCTTTAGCCCATTTATTTAATCTAAATCAATACAACATTAGAAAAGGATAAAAAAGGAGGGCGTTTTGGGAGGAACATAGGCAGAAGAAAGGGAAGTTAAAAGTGAAGGAGGGAAGAAATACAGGCTGGGGTATTGTGAAGGGCCATGGTGGTGGGCATGAATAGCCTGAATTTAACTTGGAAAGTGAAAGGAATCTAACTCTACAATATTCAGTAATAAAGGTAATTGATCCTATGATGTAGAGGGGATGGGATGAGGCAGGAAATAAAACTGCTTTCTCCAGACCCAGTGTCTCAATATTGTTCAGTTGATCAGCTGTTTTATGTGGAGGGTTTTTGTCCTTTTGAACCATCAGAAGCAAAATACTGAACTAGAAATGTTGGTGGAACAGGCCTGGTTTGGCAGAAGAAGGGATTGTGGTGGAACAATGCTCTGATCTAATGTGGAAGGAGGTGGGAAGATTAGTAGTCTGATCTGGTGCAGCAAAAGGTGGGATGATGGCCAAATCTTATGTTCTGGTTGTGAAAATAAAAGATTATGATAAACAGTTTTGTAACAATAGATTCAGTTTACCTCTGGAATAGTCTCAACAGGAATGACTTCTAATACAGGTAGTGTTTAATTTTAGGCTAAATAATCTGTTTGGCAGTGTTCACTGCAGTGAGGGAACAGGAACAAAACTGTTCATGGCAGGAGTGGGTAGAACATAAGAGACTGATCTGACAGTCTGTAACTTCTGGGATTCTGGGTAGTGTGCTGTGAGTATTCTAGAAACAGACTTTTGTGAGGTGGATTTAATAATACCAGTCACAGACACTCAGATGCACTGGTGATGGGGGTTGTGTATGTACTTAGGTGGGTGGAAACAATTATTTTAGCAAAAAATATATCTATATATCTATCTCACTATACCCCCTAAAAATAAAAACACAGCAAGCAAGTTAAAAGATTACAAGTTAGGCTGTATGCTTCAGCCTCTTGTGAATTGGATACAGGGAGCATCTTGTATCCTGCTCCCAAAGAGCAATGTCCTCCCATTCTTGACCAGAAAGACAGGTTGGTCTCACATGAAGCAGGGCTAATAAATTGGGAAAATGCAAGAGTCCCGAAAAGTCCCCAGATTCCTTTCAAAATCAAGCCCCAACACTGATGATCTCAAATGAGGGACATATTATGTAATTGTGGTTTATATGTGAGTTGATCTTTCAGGGATGTTGCATACAGCAGAAGACAGCAGTGCACTGGATCTACCCACTGAAGGTGAGAGGGAGGTTCTGAGTCTCACTGGCAGGTTGGGAAGAGGAATCTACTGTATCTGGTTGGATGCAGATAGTGAGAGTCTCAGCAACTTCACAAATTGAAGAGAGCAGCTGTTCCCTCTCCTTGCCAGGGTGCTTTGCATGCACAGTGAGAGGAGAAGTCTTCTAAGAGTTGTTTTTGGGGGAAGCACACCCACAGCTCATTTAATCTTTGGCATTTCTGCTACCACTGGTGTCTTTCTCACAAAAATCTTAAGAGCTGAACTGAAAAATAACCAGCTCTCTTCAGAGAGGGTATCAATTTTCAGTCAGTAGGAATGTGGGCTGGATTTGACATGGTGACAGAGGTAAAGTGTCTTTGTCACATTACTAATCCTCTGAGATGTGCAGACTCCCAAACCGTAAAACAGTTTAACTTATTGGTGCCTCATACCTGAAGGTTTTCATAGATTTTAAGGCCAGAAGGGACTGTTAGAACATCTATTCTGAGCTCCTGCATATCGAAGGTAAATTTTACCCTGTTACCTCTGCATTGAGCCCATAACTTGTGTTTGGCTAAAGCACATCTTCCAGAAAGGCCCAGAGTCTTGATCTGAAATCATGAAGAGATGGAGAATCCACCATGTTCCTTGGTAACTTATTCAAAGGATTAACCACCCTTCACTGTTAATGTGTCACTGAATACCCTAACAATATAAACAGAAAAAGTATGTTCCAATAATTCCCTAAACAAACTACACAATGGGAGCAAGATAAACCCACAACAACCATTCATATAATATCAAACAATATACCCGGACTCCATCTTCTTTGTATTACCCTCATAATAGTTTTTTTGTCTGTTTGGTTGTCTGCTGGAAAACTTTTACCTCTTAAGTCAGTCTGAATGTTCCTTATACCCATGAAAAGCCTGTGATCTAAACATGTCAGAAATTGTTTTGGTTCTTCATATCAGGCAAGAGGTGACCAACAGGCACAAGAGGTTATATAGATTTTTTTTTTTTTACTGGGAAAGCAGTTGTCTTGCTTCATGCAACTCACTGGTTGTTTTGTTAGTAAAGCCTAAAATGATGTGCAAATGGCATCTAGTGAACCTAGTTTCTTGTTGATTTCCATTATTCCACCTCCTCCTTGTCACTAGGGCAGATGGAATAAGGTTTTCTTGCAGTTACTGTGAGCAAAAAATAATAGGTCTTAATTGGTGCTGAGGAGGTGGCAAGGTACAATTGGAACATCAAGCAGTAGAAATAGGACTCGATACGCAGAATAATCACAACAGGTGTAAATAGCTCTCAAAGCACTTTACAAAAGAGGTCAGTTTCAGCATCCTACATTTGGGGAAATGGAGGGAGAAAAGTGGCTTGGTAGTACTCACCCAGCAGCAGAGCTGGGACTCAAGCACAGGTCTCCTGAGTTATAAGTCAGCCCCCTGTCCACTGGGCTATTACAGCTTGGGCTGTAACAGGCCCTCAGGTACTATTGAAGAGCCTAGTACTAGATGAGGGCCCCTCAAATTATATCTGGTCATCAACTGTGTTCTGATCTAATCTCAGAAAGGAAGTGTGGGAAACTTGCCCTATGCAGTACTTATTGAGTGTATTTGTGCTTTGAAAAAGGGACTAATTCTTTTCCAGCCTGATATCTCTTCCTTACTTGATAGCCTGACACTGAATTGGTGACTGGAAGTTAATATCCTTGTAAACAGATGGCAGTCACTAATGCAGGGTTTATTATGACTTCACTGCAGAACGATCAAACTGGGTCAGGAGGGATATCAAATAACAGCAAAGGGAATATCCTGCTTTATAAGCACCCACATATGCGTTAAACAAATACTCCACCTACTCAGTAAAGCTCTGTGGAAGATGTGTTCTGAGTAAACTCTGGTGTGTGTTATTGTTACTGATCCTGTTTCTTCTGCTCAGTTCTGGTGCGACTTGTGGCGGAGCTGAAGTTGGAGCAGTATGTACACTGTGTGTTGGATGAAAGCGAGAAAGAGGTCAGTAAAGATTATTTCCTTGCTCCCTTTGGTCCCCCAAGTTTGAAAATATGGAAAGTTACAAAATATTCTGAATGAGCTCTCGTGGAATGTCCTAAATGCTGCCACTGCCTTCATGACTTTGGCAAGGTTGACATCTGCCCTGGAATTTTTACCATCATATCCCCTCCACCATGGCAACATGGCATCCTCTGTGTTTTCTCTTTTCCCTCCATTACTGCAGCAATAATATGGATAGCTTTTCAGACCTGGAGCTGCTTGGCAGGCCTGCTCCCTTCGCTTGTGCTCTCTTCGTTGCCAGGTTCATCACAAAATGTCAGACTTCCCCAGAGCACAGAAGCTTGGGAGACAGCAGAGATGGGGAGAGGGTTAGCCAGCTCCCCCATCCACCTACACATCAGCTTTGGGGGTGCAGCAGCAGGGCAGAAACCAGGAGGAGATTACTGCCGGGAGATTTGGTGGATGTGTTTAGGGACAATTATCTGGACAAACAAATATGAACAGTTAAGGGGGTTCCACTGGCTTAGAAGGTCCCATTTCGAGGGGTTCATTGCACCATGAGGGGAGTTCACCATTTTGTGTGTGTTTCCCATTTTGGGACACATCCTTATTGGTGGTTTGTTTTCTTCCCTCCCC